GCATGGTCTAAGTATGAAGGAGTGTTTAGGGGGACGTTGGAGGCCCTGATATAATGTGGGGAACATGTAACAGTGTAATTTCATTAGATAATTTAAGAGGGTGTGTTTAGGGGTGGCATTAGGGCTGGGGCGGGGTGGCATTAGGGCTGAGGCAGGGTGGGGCAACCGGTGGCAAGCGGCTCTTAAGGTCTGGCTTGTAGCTCAGGACTTGAAATTTTGAGCTAGGACCTACAGTATTGCAAGTTTGGTAACTACCTTTAATAACACATTCCATGCTGACCTTTATCAACTACACAATAGAAGAGACAAAAGGGAGAACCATAAGCTTTAGCAAGCAATTATGTCAGCAAATTGCTGGTATAGATCAATCAAGCCAATGACATTAACTAAGCAGAAATACTGCCCCTTGCAGGAAAAGAAAAGTGCTTTACGCTTCAAATTAAAGTGACACTTAACTGTGGTTTAAAAAATATTCTATTCTATTTAAATATCTTCTACTGCTCTTGTCATTCTCAAACGCTAAATTCCATTTTTTTGCTGCAGTGATCCAACTTCCTGTTAGAGGGAGGCTACGTTCATTCTCCATTATCCTTGTTTTTTCACAAGGATGTTTTTAAGGTTTGAATAGAAAGAACAAAACAACCTATGGAGGCTGAAGCCATTCAAAAGGCACTCGTATCAAAATACACAAAGTTGGGGTAATTACAGATAATTCCACAAAATTAGAATGTGCAACTCAGGTGTCTAATTAAGCAGCCATACAAAAAGGAATCTATACGGCAAATACAATGACACTTGGTAAATGTCAAGATATACAAAGAGGAAGGTAATCAGAACAAGATGTTGTACTTAAGAACCAGACTCCCGACTTTAGTATTCAATAAAACAGGTTGTTCAATGGTCCTTGCTAGCAAGAGCATAGACACTCATCCTTTCTAGCTCTCGAGATAGACTAGGGACTATGAACTATGGGATTTGTACTGTGCAAAGAGCAGTACACATGAACGCAACTAATGTGCACTGCTTGTTTCAAACAAACAGGATTGATGGGGAAAAGGAGAGGTTTGGGAGCTCACAGAAATTGTCGCATGAAGGTATAAAAACACAGTAAGAAACAATTTCATGAATAGGCCTTTAAGTAGTGGATGTGTAATAATCATTTAAAAATATAAGGATATTGTTTAGCACCACTTTTATACACCAGAAGGTTGTCACACTTAACAACCTGAAGAACTATATTTAAGCTCTGTAGACACATGAGCCATATATTGCCTGTGCTCCATGAGCATGGGAAAGAGACCAGGACTAGGCCCTGCGCTGTAGCTTATACAGGTGGAGTTGCTATTTACAGGAACAAATAAGACAAGCAAGAATTGTCACCCTGGGTCCACCCTAACCTTTCCATCATGACCAATAATGCCACCATCAGTCCCACCACGCAAGCCAAAGTTCTAGGTGTCACTCTAGACTCCTATCTATCCTTCCAGCCCCATGTCCAATCGCTGGCAAATTCATGCAGGCTCCACCTCCGCAACATCTCCAAAATACGCACGTTCCTAACCCCAGACACCACTAAACAACTCGTTCACTCCCTTATTATCTCACGACTCGACTACTGCAACTCCCTCCTCACCGGCCTACCTCAACACAGACCCCGCTTCAGTCTACCCTGAACTCAGCGGCCAGACTCATCCACCTTACCAGCCGCTCTGTATCCGCTACCCCCCTCTGTCATTCCCTCCACTGGCTTCAGATTGCCCAACATATAAAATTCAAACTACTAACACTGATGTACAAAGCTATTCATAATACTGCCCCAAACTACCTCACCGACCTGATATCCAAATACCACCCAACACATACTTTTCACTCCTCACAAGACCTCATACTCTCCAGTTCCCCAGTCTCCTCCTCCCATGCCCGACTCCAGGACTTCTCCAGGTCTTCCCCCATCCTCTGGAACTCACTACCCCAATCCATCAGACTATCACCTACCCTCCTGAGGAAGTCACATGACATTGTGACGCAACGCGTCGGCTGGACGTGGTGACGTATTTCCGGCGTGGCGGCCATCTTGGTACACCTGTATACTGAGCTGTACACCCATACATACATGCCCTCATCCGAAAGCATGAGGTCTTGAATTGGCTGCCAAGTGAGTGAGAAAGTTTTATGTTATCTGTCCCTACTTCATAAATAAAATATACTGCACTATGGGAGAATCTATTTTATGTCTTATTTGAGAGATTGATGCTGCAACTTACCTGGAGAGGAGCCATTGATGGAATATTAATTTCTGAGAGATTTGGGCGCGAAAGGAGCAACATTTGGAGTGATAGCTATCTTGGAGGATCCGTGAGGGGGATCCACAAAAGCGCTTTGATCCGCAAGGGTCGAAGTGATGAGGTGAGAGGCTTATCCAGATGGTGGTCGGATTGTCAGATTCACATGCACCCAAAGATCCACACGAGTTCTTGTTAATTTATGGTCACCAACAGTAGTCATTGGAAGCACATGTTTTCTTTGGTCACTATCAGCATTTAATGGACTTTGAGAGCTCTGTTTTATATATATGCTATATTGTGGGTTTTTTTCACTACACGAGAGGCACGTGTGATTTTATATTCACAGTATTATATATATATATATATGTATATATGTAAATGTTTTTTTCACATGCTCTGAGTTATCTGATTTTATTTTGTAGATTTAATGAATCATGGGCACAAATTAATAATAATTGATATCACTATCACATTTATTTTGATTTAATTTGATGTAATTTTGAGATCACACATCAACTATTAATTTATTATTTATTTATGTGTGTATGTACCTTAAGGAGTAGCGCTACATTCTTTATTGTATTTATTTAGCACAATCACTGGTATATGATTTAATGTTAGCAGCTTCTCCTGGTGTGTTTTGTACAGTTGAAACACTTGGGAGCGCAGGAGATTCACACCACTACCAAAACATACCTAATGCTTGACATTACAGATTCACTAGAGGAACTAAATATGTTGTTACTAAACATTAAAAAGCATTTAATAAATTTTAAAGACAAGTAAATATATTACTGTGCGTTACTAAAGCGGAGAGATTTGCAATATATCTAGAAAATTAAGGCAATCATTTGTTGTTGTATTGAGAGCTACTGTGTGAAAAATAAAAAAATACTAGAAGTAACCAAATTAATTTACCTCTTTCAACATTTGGTATCCCTAAATCTACTGTTGGGATTGTGGGGTCTGTATGATCACTGTAATACTCGAGGTGTGCAGCTTCCTTCTCCCATGTCTGCTTTACAACAGGTACTGCAAATAAACACAGATATATCATAGGATTAATCTTCCAAAAAAAAGAGACAAGATACAACAATAATAGTTTATTAGTTTATTGCCTTCACTGAAGTCCTTCTACAATGTGACGTAATACAGTGGAGTAATGCATAGACAGAGACCCCCCCACCCATTTACTTCTCACATTACAGAATTGTACTGGTTGGTATACACCAACTTATTGCAACAGCAGGCTCATATCTGAATAGTAATTTCAGTAAGAGGACAAGAAAGGGTCTGCACAAATATTACAATCAGGTGCTCACGTAGACTACCAAAAGTGTGCTTTAAAATTTATGTGCAACTTGTTATTGCTTGGCTTAAAAATTTTCTTTTATATTTTAAAGTTTATTTATAACCATATAATTTTGTACTAAGTAGGGAAGGATTAGAACTCCTCTCAGGTTTTTTTTTTTATTGGTGTCTATGTCTCCTCCAGGGAGAATAATCCGCCCCTATTTGTCACAGTGACAGAAAGATTATAATTCCAAAATTTTACATTTGACAGCAGAACAAGAATGGATGATAAATCTTCCAATGGGCACACATATTCTAGTGAAAAAATCAGTGAAAGTAGGTGCTAACCATTAGCACTAAAAGAACAGATACAAACTCCACCTAATGTATATAGTGAAAAATACAACACATATGCATATACTATATTGTGATACTATATTAAAAAGTCCAAAAGTGAATAATAAAAAGTACCCCAACACCATATTGTGGTGACAATGGAAAAAAGTGACCAAATCTTCTTTAGAAATCAGCAGTGCTTCACCAACGTGTTCACATAGACTGCACTCACCAAATTGAATCACCCAACAAAGCAGCAAGCAAGCATTAGAGATTAGGTCTTGTATATGATCAGGTAGGATATCCACTTCTTTATGCAGAATCTCTGAAGCCCATCCACTCATGAAACCACTAATACACCTCCTCCATTGCCAAACAAATCTCAGAGAAAAAAAGCAAGAGAGATACTCATACTGCAGTAAGCTTTATTAAAAGGGGTGAAAATAAATACATGCCAAAGGGGGCACCAACACAAACAGCTCCTAGGGGGATCATTTCCTTCACACTGCCACTAGTTAGCATGGCAGGAGTGCGTTCCAGCAGACCAGATGTGAAATCGGAGAAGGACGGGAATTGCCGTGTGCGGCTCATGCCGCAATACACGATGCATGTCCTCAGGAAGCTTCGGCCCCTGCCATTTTTATGAAAATTTAAATAGCAACAAGTACTCCATGACTGGTTAAGCTGGATGTCAGTAACCTTTGACTAAACGAGACAAGTACATTTCTTTTAACCACTTGCCTACCGGGCACTTATACCCCCTTCTTTACCAGGCCAATTTTCAGCTTTCAGCGCTGTCGCACTTTGATTGACAATTGCGTGGTCATGCAAGATTGTACCCATATGAAATTTTTATCATTTTTTTCTCACAAATAGAGCTTTCTTTTGTTGGTATTTAATCGCCGCTGGGCGCTTTACTTTTTGCGCTGTAAACAAAAAAATTTGAAGAAAAGTTTTTTTCTTGGTTTCTATTATAACATTTTTCAAACAGGTAATTTTTCTCCTTCACTGATGTGCGTTGATGAGGCAGCACTGATGGGCACTGATAGGCGGCACTGATGGGCACTGATAGGCAGCACTAATGAGATGGTACGGATAGGCGGCACTGATAGGCAGCACTAATGAGGTGTCACGGATAGGCGGCACTGATGATGGGTACTGATAGACAGCACTGATAGGTAGCACTGACTGGCGGCACTGACTGCACTGCTAGTCATTGACTGGCGCAACTGCTGGGCACTGACTGGTACAATTGCTGGACACTGACTAGCAGCACTGCACTGATGGGCACAGGTAGGTGACACTTCTGGGCACAGGTAGGTGATACTTCTGGGCACAGGTAGGTGGCACTGCTGGGTGACACTGCTGGGCACAAGTAGGTGGCACTGCTGGGTGGTACTGCTGGGCACAGGTGGGTGCACTGATGGGCACAGGTGGGCAGAACTGCTGATGATCGGTGCCGATCCCTGCTCCGATAACTGCCGGTTCTTGGCAGTACTTTCCTCGCGCTCTTACAGCGTGAGAAAAGTGCAGCCGAGAACCGGCAATTGCATTTCCCAGTGATCAGCGTGTCATTCGACACGGCTGATCACGTGGTAAAATGCCACTGTGATTGGCCTTTTACTACATCACGTGATCAGCTCTGTCCCTAGGACACAGCGATCATGGAGATCGCTGGGGGCACGCAGGAGAGCGAGTTGTGTATGTTTATGTATGTATATGTATACAGTGGATATAAAAAGTCTAAACACCCCTGTTGAAATGTCAGGTTTCTTTGATGTAAAAAAATGAGACAAAGATAAATAATTTCAGAACTTTTTCCACCTTTAATGTGACCGATAAACTGTACAACTCAATTGAAAAAACAAACTGAAATCTTTTAGAGGGGGAAGTAAACATAAAAAACTAAAATAATGTGGTTGCATAAGTGTGCCTTTTATAACTGGGGATGTAGCTATATTCAGAATAAAAGCAATCACATTCAAAATCATGTTAAATAGGAGTCAGTACACACCTGCCATCATATAAAGTACCTCTGATAAACCCCAAATAAAGTTCAACTGTTCTAGTAGGTCTTTCCTGACATTTCCTTAGTCACATCCTACAGTAAAAGCCATGGTCCGCAGAGAGCTTCCAAAGCATCGGAGAGATCTCATTGTTAAAATGTATCAGTCAGGAGAAAGGTACAAAAGAATTTCTAAGGCATTAGATATATCATGGAACACAGTGAAGACCATCATCATCAAGTGCAGAAAATATGGCGCAACAGTGACATTACCAAAAACTGGATGTCCCTTCAAAATTGATGAAAAGATGAGAAGAGAACTGGTCTGGGAGGCTGCCATGAGGCCTACAGCAACATTAAAGGAGCTGCAGAAATATCTGGCAAGTACTGGCTGTGTGGTACACAGGGGCATATTTACCACAAGGTAAAAAGGCACTTGCCTAGGGTGGCATTTTTCAGGGGGGCAGCACCTCCCACCAGAAGAAGGGATGGAAGAAGGGACACGCGCACTATGGGAACCAGGTGGGATCCGAGAGAGGCTGCGGGCTGCTTGATGGTGTATGTAGAGCCTGACACTCATTCCTGGGGATGTCTGGAGCTGTGAAGAGATGGGTGTCTCTCTATCGCTGGGGGGGGGGGGAGGGGTAGTGGAAGGTTCTCTGAGGTGGGGGGAATGGGTGTTTGTTGCTCAATGTCAGGCTCTCTCCGCAGGAGGGGGAAGGGGGGGTTTTGGTCATGTCCGTGGGGGGGCAGACGATTTTTGTGTTGCCTAGGGCAGCACAAAACCTAAACACACTACTGGTGGTACAAGTGACAAAAATCTCCCATATTCTTCATATTTCTGGGATATGGGGTAGAGTGGCAAGACAGAAGCCTTTTCTCATGAAGAAAAACATCCACGCCTGGCTAAATGGTCTGATGAAACCAGGGTGGATAAAAATCAATTTAAAAAAAAATAAAAAAAGATCGGATTTGTTTTTTATTTAAATTGGATTTTTTTTTTTTTATTTGTATCAAATTTATTTTAATAATATGCTTTTGGAGTAAAAATCTATCAAAATATAGTTTTCTATTTAAGATACATTAGTAATTTTGTTTATTCAGCATGAAATGGAGCTTAGTTATGCAGCATGAGGCTCTATATTCTGCATTATTTACATTTTTAGTAAACTCATTCAATGAATCCAAGCTCTGTAAGCTGAGATAACATGCACTGCATTGATACATTCACACAATTTCACAGTAACCATGAGAAAAAAACATGTAATAAAACAATTTGAGCAGTTCTCCAACTATGTGTGATTAACCTATTAACCTAATATCGGGTCTGATATCGCTGTTTTACTAACCTGACAGCTTATTATTCTAAAAAGAAAACCTTCATTTGGTTTGCAAATGTTAAAGATTATAACTACCAGCAAGAATGAGTCGGATTGCTTACATTTAAAGAGCACCTGTCATTTTAGATCCATCATGACAGCGCCTGTTAGCGAGTATCCACTCACCTGCTGCTGCCACGCCCTCACCTTGTTGTGTCACTGCAGCATCACCAGTCGTCCCATTAAAGTGAATGGGGCTGTTGGTGAGTCAACAGCGGGTGAGAGGAGCTGCTGCGAGACAGAGATGACAGTTGCTCTTTAAAAATTATGATTTAAATTGAGCCTTTTCACTAGTGATTTAAATCGTGACTTGATTTAAATCAAATCCACCCTGGATGAAACCAAGGGTGAACTTTTTGGCCATAATTCCAAAAGATATGTTTGGCGCAAAAACAACACTGCATGTCACCAAAAGAACACCATACCCACAGTGAAGCATGGTGGTGTCAGCATCATGCTTTGGGGCTGTTTTTCTTCTGCTAGAACTGGGGCCTTAGTCAAGGTAGAGGAAATTATGAACAGTTTCAAATACCAGTCAAAATTGGCACAAAACCTTCAAGCTTCTGTTAGAAAGCTGAACATGAAGAGGAACTTCATCTTTCAGTATGACAACGACCCAAAGCATACATCCAAATCAACAAATGAATGGCTTCACCAGAAGAAGATTAAAGTTTTGGAATGGCCCAGCCAGAGCCCAGACCTGAATCTGATCGAAAATCTGTGGGATGATCTGAAGAGGGCTGTGCACAGGAGATGCCCTTGCAATCTGAAAGATTTGGAGTGTTTTTGCAAGGAAGAGTGGGCAAATATTGCCAAGTCAAGATGTGCCATGCTGATAAGACTCATACCCAAAAAGACTGAGTGCTGCAATAAAATCAAAAGATGCTTCAAAAAAAATATTAGTTTAAGGGTGTGCACACTTATGCAACCATATTATTTTAGTTTTTTTATTTTTACTTCGCACCACCTAAAGGATTTCAGTTTGTTGTTCAACTAAGTTGCACAGTTTATAGGTCACATTAAAGGTGGAAAAAGTTCGGAAATTATTTATCTTTGTCTCATTTTTTACATCACAGAAACCTGGCATTTTAACAGGGGCAAGTAAAATTTTTATATCCACTGTATATACAACCCCTGGCAAAAAGTATGTAATCGCCACTCTTTGAAAATGTTCATTCAATTGTTTTTATTGTGTAGAAAAAAAACAATCACAGGCATGCCTCAAAACTATTTTCATTCAACATTCTGGCTAAAAAAAAAAAGAATATAAATAAATTAGAAACAAAACTGTAGTCAGTTAGAACTGTTTTTGCAGATCAAGCAGATGAAAAAAATATGGACTCACTCAATTCTGAGGAAAATATTATGGAATCATGAAAAAAGAAAAACACTACAGTACACCACTAGTACTTTGTTGCACCACCTCTCGCTTTTATAACAGCTTCAATTCTCTGAGGCTTGGATTTAACCATCGACAAACAGTTACACATTCCCATAGATACACTCCTAAACCTCGTGGACAGCCTTCCAAGTATAGTTGAAGCGGTTATTATTATTATACAGTATTTATAAAGCACCAATGGTTCGCTCAGCGCTGTACATTACAAAGGGGGACAGAACATGTGACAGAACAATAACAATACAATGCAAAACATGAGGGGATTGAGGGCCCTGCTCTTTCGAGCTTACAATCTAGGAGGGAGGGGATGGTGGCACAGGAGGAGATAGCTGTGGGGGATGGAGTGGTAGGAAGAGTGGAGGAGGTCGGCAAGTTAGCAGGGGGTGGGGTAAGCTTCCCTGAAGAGATGGGTTTTCAGGGTGCGCCTAAAGGAGAGGAGAGTAGGTGATAATCTGATGGGTTGGGGCAGGGAGTTCCAGAGGATGGGTGACACCCTGGAGAAGTCCTGGAGGCGGGCATGGGAGGAGGAGACCAGGGAACTAGAGAGAAGGAGGTCTTGTGAGGAGCGGAGTGTGCGTGCTGGGTGGTACTTGGATATTAGGTCTGTGATGTAGTTGGGGGCAGTATGGTGGACAGCTTTGTACGTCAGTGTTAGGATTTTGAATTTGATCCGTTGCGCAATCGGAAGCCAGTGGAGGGATTGGCAGAGGGGGGTGGCGGAGATGGAGCGGTTGGAAAGGTGAATGAGTCTGGCGGCCGTATTCAGGATCGACGGGGATAGCCAGTGGCGAGGCAGGCCAGTGAGGAGGAAGTTGCAGTAGTCGAGTCGTGATATGATGAGGGAGTGGATAAGCTGTTTAGTGGTTTCTGGGGTTAGGAACATGCGTATTTTGGCGATGTTGTGAAGGGGAAGTCTGCACGAGTTTGTTAAAAGATTGGACTTTGGGCTGGAAGGATAGGTTGGAGTCCAGAATGACACCAAGTACTCTGGCCTGCGGGGCGGGTTTGATGGTGGCGTTGTTGGACATGATGGAGAAGTCAATGGGGGGTGGGGTCAGGGCTGGGGGGAAGACAAGAAACTCGGTTTTGAAGAGGTTCAGTTTAAGGAAGTGGAGCGACATCCAGTCTGATATGTCGCTCAGTAGGTGTGTGATTCGGGCGGAGACTGAGGTGGTGAGGTGGGGGGTTGAGAGATAGATTTGTGTGTCGTCGGCATATAGGTGGTAGTTGAAGCTGTGAGAATGTATGAGTTGGCCAAGGGAGGAGATGTAGATGGAGAAGAGAAGGGGCCCGAGGACGGAGCCTTGAGGGACCCCAACAGAGAGGGGGAGTGAGGGGGATGTGGTAGCATTATAGGTAACGCTGAAGGAGCATTGTGACAGGTAGGATGAGAGCCAGGAGAGAGCAGAATCTCTGAGGCCGAGGGAGTGTAGTTTTTTGAGGAGGAGGGGGTGGTTGACTGTGTTGAAGGCTGCGGAGAGGTCAAGGAGTAGGAGCACTGAATAGTGGCCATTAGCTTTGGCGGTTAGCAGGTCGTTGGAGAGTAGGAGTAAGGCAGTTTCGGAGGAGTGTAGGGGACGGAAGCCAGACTGTAGGGGATCGAGGAGGTTGTTGTCGTTGAGGTGAGAGCATAGGCTGGTGCAGACTAGGCGCTCGAGGAGTTT